TCTTCTCTGACTTGTGTTATTACAAACACTGACAACGTGTTTGGAATTCTCACACTCCTAAGAGATAGTTTTTCATGTGGTATCCAGATGACTGAGTGAATCCATTGGTAAGAGGAATGGCTGTAACAGAAAAAGATGTCAGGGAGGTCCTTTGCTTCTCCTCCCTAAATGGCATAGTATCAGAGGAAGAAAGAGGTGGTAAGCAAATGCCACCACCAATATCATGTTATTTCACCTTTCTTATATTTTAGTTTGCTTCCTGATGTCTGCACATAATGTCTCAAGTTCTCAACCTCCTGAAACAATGTTTCACAAAGGGAAGATTAAAAAAAAATAGAACTTTCAGCACTCGAAACCTGACAGTATATGAAATCAGCTATGCAGATTATAAAAATATTTATTATATATGCTTAACATTGCTAATCATCAGGGAAATGCAGAGCAACACCACAGTGAGATATTACTCACATCTGTCAGAATGGCTATCATCAAATGGACCACAAATAACTACTGTCAGAGAGGGTATGGAGAAAAGGGAACCCTTGTCCACTGTTGATGGGAATGTAAACTGGTGCAGCCACTGCAGAAAACAATATGAAGACTCCTCAAAAAACTAAACATAGAACTCATAGAATCCAGCAATTCCACTCCTAGGTACATATCCAAAGACATCAAAAACACTGATTCAAAAAGTTACAAGCACACTGATGTTTATAGCAGTATTATTTACAATTGCCAAGACATGGAAGCAACTTAAGGGTCCAGCAACAGATGAATGGATAAAAAAACTGTGTGGTGTGTGTACACACACACACACACACACACACATATAGACAAGTATACATATGACAATGGAGTATTACTCATCTATAAAAAAGAATGAAATTTTGCCATTTGCAACAACACAGATGGAGTGTATTATGCTTAGTGAAGTTAAGTCAAACAAAGAGAACAATACTGTACATCATCACTTTAATGTGGAATCTAGGAAAATAAACAAACTAGTGAATACAACAAAAAAGAAATGGACTCACAGATATAGACAACAAACTAACAGTTACCAGTGGGGAGAGAACAAAAGGTAAAATAAGTAAGCTAAAGGATATATTGTACAGCACAGGGAAATATAGCCAATATTTTATAATAACTACAAATGGAATATAATCTTTAAAAATTCTGAATGATTATGTTGTACTCTTGAAATTTTATACTGTAAATCAACTATACCTCAATTTTAAAAAAAGAAAGAAGAAGATATTCTAGCATAAAACACAAATTCTATTTTTTTCTGTGACAAAGGGGAAAAAAATCAGAAAATTATCAACAAGATGGAAACACAAGGAAGCTGTGAGTATCATTTCTATCCATATCACTCTGCCCCCTGGAATATTTTTATGCCCCCCCATTTTCAGTCCTTTCCCTTTTTGTCTCACCTTGAGCCCATTCTCCATATGTGTTTACTCAGTGATTTGCACCCATAAAATCTATCTCCATCTTTCTCTCTTTCTCTCCTCAGAGCACCTCTCCTCATAACCAATTATAGGTGATTCACGGGCAGCATCCAAATCTTCTTAACTCACGCCTATGAATGAATGTCCCATTCTGACCCTCACTGTAAATATGAATTTTTCCCTTCCTCATGCTTTCAGAACCTCTACTTATTTTTAATTTGGAGGAATAGGAAGATAGATTCTGCATAACTGTTTTCTAGGTCACACTGTACCAAGGAAGTTGGAAACCTTGATGGAAAGTGTCAAGTAGTTGATGGTGACAATAATACACATAGGGCAAACCATGAGAAACCAGAAGTTGAAAAAGAAACAAACAAGAAAACCAAAGGTGAACTCATAAACTCAAAACCTAGCCCCTCACTTCTGCAGCTCACTGCTACCATTTGGCTTCCATGTCCCTTTCCCATATTCTTCCCACACCTTCCAGATGCAGTTACTGCTCCACTTGTGCATTGGGGCTGGATCAGTCCTCCTCCAGAATCCCCCATTTTGGGAGTTAAAGATGAGGAGAGGACAGGCATTCCCAAACTGTTGCCAGGAAGCCAGCAGAGAAAAGTATTTTCCCAGAATCCCCAGTTGAACTTTTTGATTCATAATCTGCAGAAACTTCATAATACACACTAGATCATCCATGTCATGTCATTCCTACAGAACTCTACTTTCGGTTATACAGTCCTTTAGGCATATTTGGGCTGTCCTGGGATCCAAACTCCATAATCTGCTTGTCAGTTCCAGACAACCACCATCCAAATGACTTTTGAGAATCCAATGCATTGGCAAATTTGGAGTTGTTTATTCCTACATTCATTACAGGATCATCAGGAAGACTAATGGGTCTTATATTTGGAAGAACTTTGAAAGCCTACTTAGGAAAGCATTACGTGAGTGCAAAGTATTGTAAAGAAGCAATGGAGGAAAATGTATTGGCTGAGGAAATAATTGGCAACAGAGAGAAGACAACATTTTTTGCAGCTGGACAAAAAATATTGTAAGGCAATACTGAGCCAGGTGAATGGAAAAAGGATTTAGTTTTATTGGCAGGAGTTGACAAGTGCCAGTAACTTGGAAAGACATGGAAAGCAGATTTGACTGTTGGG